GTGGCGCCAAACCATAACGACAGAATAATAAACAATCAGAATGTCCACTCTCAGATGCCGCCTTTGAAGTTTTTCAGCACGCGCACCATGTTTTAGAAAGAAACACATAACACAGACGTATGATTTGTGAGGTTATGTAATTGTTTATATTTATGTTTAATTCTATTATATTTATGTTATTATATTTAACAATGTTATTATAATTGTATAGTATATCTATGATTGCCTTAAGTCAACTAAACCGGGTTAATTTTGTCTATACACACCACATAAACAACACTGGTTCCCTCTAAAACATGGCGGAACGTCTGCGCGAAGGAGATGCGCGTACTTAAATTTCCATGGAGTTAGTCTGATTGTTCATTATTCTGTGCCATAACGTTTTAAATGCCCTAAATAAAAGTTTTTAGTAGAGACAAAAAACTATTTTAGTTGAAAAATAGTAAATGAAATAATTCTTAATATTTTTATTATTAAATTTTGATTCAATTAACGCTATTGACATACAAACTTGACGTCTAATGAAATAAAATAGGTTATACTTTTGTTCATTTAAAAAAACTAAGACAACAATACATTTTAAGTGCAATTCTTTATGCAAGCCATAATGTTGTGAGTGTGTATTTACTTGCACTTTAATGACGAAAAATATCAAGCAATTTTAGTGGAAATAAAACTAATATTTATTTATTTACTTAAGTAACTTTAAATCAAAATTGGAAGAACATCATTTTGTAAGGTTTTAGTAGAAAGTTTTTGCTTTCCGGGCTAAATATGGTAGCATGGCTTGGATATCTTTATTTTTTGGTAGACAATGGCACAGGAGTTTCTTTCATCTTGATTTTCAATTCTTCAAAATTTGCCTTAGTGATTTGCTCAGGTTTGCTCACTGAAGTTTTAATCATGGTGCAAAATCCCCTTAACTTTTCTTTATATAAACGTCGCCAAAGTTTTCAGATGTTACTCGAATGGTAGCATCCAAAGATGTCTTCAACTTTTTAGTGTTTATCATGGATTGTTCTAGATTTATCCAGTCAAGAAATATATCTTTCTTTCCAGCATTAGCAATAATTTAAAATGAGGTCTTTTGGTATAAGCGGCTTGGCATGCTTTTTTGCTCTCACTGTAATAGCAAAATGGCGATCATGCGCGAGAAAGGGGTCCTTTCTCAAGAAGTTTGTGAGTAATTTCTGAAAAGAAACCATTTTTAATCAAAACGAGAGACATAAGAAGTATAGCCTGGTTCTTATTTTGGCCACGTCAATTATCTGACCATAGGATTAGCTTTTTCTTATCTCTGTAGTGAATCCTGTTTTACTACTGGCAAAAAACCTGTACAGACTAGAAGCTATCTCGTTAGATCCCCTCTCCCAACAGTTTAATTCCAGAGAAACATGATGCCCCCATCCTTCGTCTTTTAAATAAATACCGATATTAATATAGGCAAGCTGACGGATGTAGTACATTTGGTTATGAATTAATGTTCTTATTCTTCTTCCTACTTTATAAATAGGCTTAATACCTGTATTACTTCGGTTTTTAGCCTCAATTGACGTCTGACCATCTTTTCCTCGGTCGTCCCAATGATCTTCTTCCATTTGGCGATTTGTCTCTTGCTATTCGTACTATTCTCATTTCTGTCATTCTTTCGATGTGTTGATTCCATTCCACTTTTCTTCTTTTGGTCCACGCGTTTATTTCCTCTATACCACATCTCGCTCGTATTTTCTCACTTCTCACTCTGTCTCTTGGAGTTTGGTTTGTTATTTTTCGTAAGACTTTCATTTCTGTTGTTTCTAGCAATATTTGAGTTTTCGCCGTATCTGCTCTTGTTTTCGCTGTGTACGTTATTATCGGTCTTATTGTTGATTTGGATATCCTGGTTTTCGTTGCCGTTGTGAGGTATTTGTTTCTCCAGATTGTGTTCTTGAGACATCCTGCTGCTCTGTTTGCCATGTTCACTTGTTTTTGTACTTCTTCCACTTTTCCGTAGCTTGACAGTTTTATTCACAAGTATTCAGTTTCCATCATTTGTTCTATTATTTTGTTATTTATGACTAGTTTACATCGTCTGGGTTCTGATGATAGCACTATCGTTTTGGTTTTCTCTCTTGAGATCACCATGTTGTATATGAGCGCCGTATCTTCGAATTCTTTAATTAATCTTTGTAGGTCATCTTCATTTTCGGCTGTTATTATGACGTCGTCGGCGTAGCATATTATCCTTATTTTCTTTTCTCCCATTCTATATCCTCATCTTTTTTAAATTTTCTTTATGATTTCATCCATTATTAATATGCTCAGGGAATCTCCTTGTCTAATGCCAGTTTCATATTTGATAGGTTGCGATAGTTTTCCTTTACATCTTACCATAGCTATGTTATCTTTATATATATTCTTAATGGTTTTTACTAAATCCAGTGATATTCCCTTTTCATATAATAAATGTATCGCGTCCCGAATTCTCACTCTATCAAACGCTTTCTTCAAATCTATCAAACGCTTTCTTCAAATCTATCAGACACATATATGCTGGTTTGTTGTATTCCAGTGACTTTTCTTTTATTTGTCTCATTACAAAAACTGCATCCGTGCATGATCTTCCTGACCGAAATCCTTGCTGTTCCTCTTGCAGAGATGTTAGTTCGTTTATTTTTGTCGCTATTATTCTTGTTGTCAATTTGAGTGTTATATTTAAAAGATTTATTGCTCGATAATTATTGGGGTCTTTCTTATCTCCTATTTTGAAAAACATCACCATGATCGCTCTCCTCCATTCATCTGGTATTCTGTTCGTGGTGATTATTTTATTAATAAGAAGTTGCAGTTGTTGTACAAGGTAATCACCTCCATATTTTAAGAGTTCATTTGGTATTTGATCTTCTCCTGGTGATTTTCTATTTTTTAATTTGTTTATTCCTTCTTTCACATCGTTTTGGGAGATTTCGGTCTTTTCCTCAGTATTGTATTTGGTACATGTATCGTCTTTCCCAGTAATCTGTTTTTGTTTTTCTTACCAATTGATGAGTTTCAGTTCTTATTCTTTTTATTCTTAATATGATTCATTCGTTTTTTCTGACTAATTTTTTAGGAAAGCTTTCTTTTTTTGGTGACATTTTTGTTTAGCCTCTAGTGTAAACCATGGTGTTTTCGTTGACCACTTTTTTTATTATTTTCGTTCCAATTGCTTCTTGGGCAGCATCCAGAATATTTTTCTTAAGTTTTCTCCAGCTTGTCTCTACATAGCTTTAATTTTCGATATTTTTGATATAATGAATTTATGGAGTCATCTCTTAAATTTTCTATTTTTATTGTTTCCTCTGAATTGGTTGGTTTAAGCCTTTCTTTCCATCTTTCATTGAATCTAATTTTACCAAGTACCAAATAGTGATCGCTTCCCACATTGGTTGACGTCAAACTTCTCACATACACTATCTGTTTATGGTGAATATTTCTGTTTGTGACCACATAATCTATCATTGATATATGTCCTCTTGTATTTTCAAACGTGTATTTGTGTTGAATTTTATGATCAAAAAATGTGTTGTTTATTCTCAGTTCGTTTGATGTGCAGAATTCCACCATTATCTTTCCGTTTTCATTGATAACTCTTTCATTAAACCTTTGTTTTATTCCTGGTATTACTTCTTCTCCTATTCTGGCATTGAAATCTCCCAATAAAATAAGTAATTCATTTTGCTTCACTTCTCTTTCCGCTAATGTTTGTAGCTTATCATAGAATTCTTCTTTATCGCTGCAGGTTTGCAGTCTTCTGGTGCATATATCCCTATTATGTTAATAATTTTGCCGTTCGCCCTAATTTTTACTAAAAATATTCTCTGAGATATGTACTGGCACTCTTTAATTTGATCTTTATATTTTGTTCTCATCATTATTGCTACACCTTCCTTTGCTCTTTGTTGTTTCGGAACCCCACTATATGTTAGTAAATATTCTCCAAGCCGCGTCTGTCCTTAACGTTTCCTCTTTGTTTCTTGTAGGGCGCAGATATCTATTTGATATTCTCTCAACTCTTCTTCTATTTCCTGATCTCGGTTATTTAGGCTTTTTATGTTCCACGTCGCCACTCTCATTATATGTTTCGTTTTACAGTTTGTCGTCTTTTTTCTCGCCTTTGTTGTTATCATATTTTCTGTCCTAGTCCGAGCCTCGTCACCGGTTCTTTGAGCTTTTTTTTATTTTTATATATGGCAGGTTGCTAACCTAACCCTACAACCCTCCTCCTTTATCCGGGCTTGGGACCGGCAACATCACCCACCAAGCTACTCGATCCACCTAGTGGGTAATGTAGGAGATCAAATGGAACCATTCGAATATCTGAATTGTTTCCTCTGGATCCTATGCTATCTTTACTCATTTGATGTCTTGCCCTGTCAGCTTGCCTTTGGTGAATTTTTCCAGTCATTGCTTAGCATCAGTTTTTACTGCTTTTGTTAGAACTGTGTCTATTTTGACTTTAAGCGCGGCACACGTTGGCCATGTGTCACGTCGTGGGGGCTTAAAGATTAGAATGAAGGTTCTAATAGTTTTTTCATTTCAATGTATGTAAAATATATTTTTTGGACACTATAGGCACATACTCAAGTCCTTCGTCGGCCATTTTGCGTAGATTGTTTGTAGCAATTGACAAGGCACGTAACAGTTCTCTTTGACACAGTATTCAATGTGGGGGCATCTCATAGCTTGCGCTTCAAGAGTACAAGTAAAGGTCGGCACATACAACGTTTTAATCATATAAAACTTATTTCAGTTCGAGTGGCACTTAGAACTTGATGGTTTGGCACCCCTCATTTAGAAAAAAATAAAATACATAATTTGTGATTTATTTATATTTTTACACTTCAGCACTTTTCTTTTCATACACTAAATTTGAAATGGAACTAAACTAAAGAATTCCAATTTAATAGTAATAAAAAAATTATATTTATAAAATATTTTATCATTGTGTTTCATTTAGTGTATATATTTTTTGTTTTTAGCTATTTCTAAGTGATGAAGCTCGTATGGAAAAGTGGGTGAGAGAATTATATTCATTCCGACAGAAAGCGCTTCAACAAGGCACCAAAAATGACCGCTAGGAAAAAGATGGCGAAATCCTACTATATATTTTTCCTTTTTCTCCCCATAATCCTGAGTGTCAGTTTTTTAGCAATTAAACAAAAAACAGTGTTAGAGTTATGTGAAATAAACAAATGTCCATTTTGTTACGGAAAGACGTTGTGTAGAGAAATTACGAAAAATAAAATTAATTTGGAATATAATCGCGTATCGGATTTTATTTATAACGTTTTTAGTGTTAAGAACGTCTATTTTGCCCGGTATAAAAGTAAACCAGTAGTTTTAAAAAAGTTAGCCCATACCAACGAACTGAATAAATTTGATAGAGAAATTAGGGACAAAATAATTAATTATAAGGCTTTAAAAAGTGAATTGAACTTTAAATTAAGAGGAATGGATGAAAAAGTACAGTTCCCTCCTTTTTATGTTTGCGATGATGATACATTTGAACTATTTTTTGATAGTTTCAATACAACCAACATTAAGACAATCTATACAATTTTAAGCATTAACGCAGAACCCGTTTTACTCGAGATGTTTAGTAAAAAGAAATACTTTCCTGTTCCGAAGTTATACGGTACTTGTGGCAGACTTATCGTTCAGGAAAATTTTGGGAAATCGGTAAACAACATAGAAAAATACTCGTGGTACAAAAGGGCATTAGTTGCGTATAAAATCCTTCAAGGTGTTCAAAATTTTACTGAAAATCACAAAGATTTTCGACTGTATCTTACTGATATTTCTCCCGATAATGTGGTAGTGGATGAGGATTTAGACGTTAGCTTTATCGATATGGAAAATGCAATTATAAAGAAAAAGACTAATTCAACGGAAAAAGAACATTACAGCAGTCATGATATTGACGAATATTCATTTAATCCAAGAGAAATATGCGAATCTGATAAAAGTGATCACAACATCTATGGTGTCTGCAGAGTAAGTAGATATGTATTTAATAAACAACTCATCAAAAGCTAAGAATATGGCTTGTACAGTAAGGTCTCTTTTTATGCGGATTATTTTTATGCAATTTTAAAGTTGTGCGGTTTGTATTTCATCCAAAAATTTCTCTCATTAACTATTTTAATTAAATATGAACTATTTACATCGAGATGTCAGTAAAGTGAGCGTTTGCAATTCGGGGATTCCCTGGTTACATGATGCCCCTATTACATCATTGCTAGTTTCGCATTGAAAGGTATTGTTTTAAAATAATTTTTCTCTTAGTGGTGCTTGGTTTTATAACAACTTGTTTGTATTGTTTGTATAATTGTATAATTTTGCTGATTCCAAGTTGCAGTATAATACTTACTTTCCGTGTCTAGAACACAAACAGCTTTAAATTTTATGTTTCCAATGGTTGGCCACATAGATGGCCCTTACATTCGCTAAAAATAGGTCTTCTTCTGTGCAGGTCTCTCTCATCTCTGTGCATGATAGTAGATGGTGATTATTCTGAACCGCGCCACAGTCGCAGGTATCGTCCTTCTGGTATCCCCATTTCTTCAGGTTGCTAGTACAACGTGAAACGCTAGTTCTTAGTCTGTTTAGCGCTTTCCATGTGGGATACGGCAAATTGTGTCCAGCGGCCATTTCCTCTGAGGAAGCAAAATGTGTTGTACCTGACGCTTGCCATATGTGTATTTTGGCGCGTCTTTGGCTTTTCCGGAAGGGATCGTGATTTTTTCAGAAAGATTTTCCGAGATCCTAATTTACATGGCTGAACGTGGTGGTTATACAAGAGGTGTCTTTGATCCGTCTCCTGCTTCTTTCGTTCTATCTCTGACGGGACCTGTCTTCTGATAGCAGGTGGAGCGATGTCAACTATATGGTAGACCTCTTCGATATGTGTCGCTTTCAGGAAACCAGATATTATACGAATCGTTTCATTTAACGAAACAACAACGTGTTTAGCATAAGCAGAGTTTTCCCACACTGGTGCTCCAAGCTCGACGGCAGAAAAACATAATGCTAAGGCAGAAGTACGGAGAATGTGTGGTTGTACTCCCCAATTTGTGTTGATTAATTTGCGGATGATCTAATATAACAGAGTTCTATCGAGACGTACGCCGAGATATTTTGGCGTCTTATTGTGTTCCAGCATCAGACCGCGCCATTACACTTTCAGTGTCCTTCGGGCATGCTTGTTTCTAAGGTGGTGCTAAGTCTTTTAGTGCATCTGTCAGTTTTACTTCGACTTCATTGAAGGTACTTCCCTGAGCTGCCACAGCTGTATTATCCGCGTAAATAAACTGTCTTGACTGCTGGTTTTTGGGTTGGTCGTTGTATAGCAATGGCGCGAGGACACTCCCCTGTGGAAGTCCATTTTTTTTATCACTCCACCGACTGTTGTTGGACTGGAGAATTACGTAGAAGCATCTATTCTGAAAAAGGCATTTCATTAACCATGTTAGTCGGAAATCCTTTGTAATTTCGTAGAGTTTTACCAGAAGCCGGTGATGGTTAACTGTGTCATAGGTGGCAGGTCTATGAACGCTACTTCTGTTATTTCTTTCCGTTCAAACCGATCTTCAATATGTTGGGTGAGATTAAGAGTTTGACCGCAGCAGCATTTTCCGGGTCTAAACCCTGCTTGTTCAGAAATAGTTTTAGTGTCCACAGATTCAGCGATCCGGTTCAGTATCGTTCTTTCGAACGCCTTGAAAAGGTGACACAAAAGAGAGACAGGTCTAAAACTCTTTATTTCCCCCTAATCCTTTCCTGGTTTTAAGAGGGCCACCACTCTAGCTTTCCTTCAGATTTTGGGGATTTGGAATGTACGCACGCAACAGTTCACCATTTTTACGAGGCACTCTAGAGTTTTTGGTCCAAAGTGCTTAATTTATTCTGTTAGTATATCATCTGGTCCAGCCGCTTTATTATCTTTTATTTGGTGAATCCCACCTCTCATCTCCTCCAGACAAAAATAGGTACCTAGAACATCCTCTTCTTCGTCGATATTTCGTTGTACTCTCACTTTGCTCTTCCTTGTTGTCGTCTTACCTTTTGTCAGGAGACGATGGGCGATCTGATCGAGTGTGACTTTTGTCAGATTGGGTGCCGGGGCGGCGGGATTGTTACCAAGATTCCGAATTAATTTCCAAACGCGTTTGCTGTTTTGTTTCATGTCTAGACTCGTGAGCTTGCACCACCTGTCCGTTCTGTTGGCGGATATCGCACGTAGCACTTCCTCCCCGGCCTGTGTTGTTGCTTTCGAAAAGGGATCGTCTTCATATAGCTGCTCGTATCTTTTAAGTAGGGGTTTAGATTTTTCATTTAGCTCCTCTACGTATTCGGTTTGACAACCTCTAGGAATATATTTTCGTGATATTTTTTTTTGTCATCTCATTATTGTAAGCCATTTTTTTATTTCTTTTTTTTTAAGATTTTATTTGGCCCAATGGAGAAAAAAAAACTTCAAAGACAATCAATTGTGTTGGAAACGAAATTTGCAATTTTAGATCGGTTAGGAAAATGAGAAGGATCTACGGCAATTAGAAAACATTTTAATTTAGGCGAATAAACTCTAAGAGCAGTTTCTGTTACAAAATTAAGCGCCAAATTTTCGTCTTACTCAAGGGATGTATTATTAGAAAGAAGAGAAAGCGCCATCGCAATTTGGATTCAGGAACTAATTCAAAGAAGAATTCCTGAACGTAGTTATTTAATCCAGGAAAAAGCTCTTCAGTGTTATGAGTTAATGAAACAGTCAAAACCACCAATTTCCAGTTCCCAAGCTGGTAAATAATTTTCAGCTAGCAAAGAATGGCCAACCAGGTTTATAAAAAGAAATGTACTTCATAATATTAAGATTACAGAAGAGAGTGCTACAGCAGATGAAGCAGCAGCTAAAATATTTCTACAGGAGCTAGCCTAAATAATTGAAGATCGGGACTATTGTGCCGATCAAGTATGTATTTAACTCTTATGAAACGGGACTGTGTTAAAAAAAATGCCTTACCGTAATTACATCGCAAAGGATGACAAAACTGCAAGTGGACATAAGCAAGTTAAGATCAAGTAACATTATTACTTTGTAGCAATGCTTATTAATCTCTTAGACCACGTGCTTTAAAAGGAAAATATTTAAAACAACTGCCAGTGCATTGGATGGCTAACATGAAAGCCTGGCTGACATTTTTTACAGAATCTATCTATCTATCTATCTATCTAATTAGCCTTCTTCGGTCCATCTTTGGACATAGGCCTCCCCAATCCTTTTCCATTCTTCTCTGTCTGTCGCTACAGTCATCCATCTAGAGCCCACGTGCTTCTTGATATCATCTGGCCATCTCATTTGGGGCCTTCCTCTGCTTCGTTTATATTCCCACGGTCTCCAACTTATAAGAATTTTGTTCCATCGGTCTTCTTTTTGTCTTATATTGTGTCCGGCAAATCTCCATTTCAATTTTGCTACTTCTTGTCTAACATCCCTCACTTTTGTTTTCTCTCTTATCCACTCGTTTCTCTTCTTATCCATTAGTCTTATGTGCAACATTTGTCTTTCCATTGCTCTTTGGGTTTTTATGATTTTGTCCATGTTTGCTTTTGTAAATGTCCACGTTTGGGAGCCATACGTAAGAACAGGGAGTACGCATTGATTATATACTTTGGTCTTAAGATGCTGTGGATATCTTTTTATTTTAAGAATGTAGCTTAGTTTGCCAAATGCCGCCCATGCCAGTCTAACTCGTCTCTTGATCTCTGCTGTTTCTGGTTGCTGGTTCTCTTTGTTAAGTTTTATAGTTTGACCAAGATATATATATATAATCCTTAACTTGTTCTATTTCATCTTGTCCGATTCTCATTGTGATGTCTTCATCTGTATTTGTTATAGTTTTGGTCTTGCTGTAATTCATATTAAGGCCTATCTTTCCAGCTTTTACGTCCAGTTCTTTCATCATTTCAAATAATTCTTCTTTTTTATCGGTTATCAATACGATGTCATCAGCGTACCTTAATTGTTGTTTTGGCTTCCTTATATATATTTGTTATTAGTTCCGTATATCTGTGGTCAATTCGGCTGTTAATCAAAGAACTTTTCACTGTCCAATGTTCGACACTGTCGAAAGCCTTTTCGAAATCTATGAACGCCATATATAGAGGAATGTGGTATTCATTTGCTCGTTCTATAAGTATTTTCATACTTAGTAAATGGTCACTTGTGCTGAATCCCTTTCTAAAACCAGATTGTTCTTTCGACTGGTATCCATCGAATTTTGTCGTCAATCTATTGGTTAAAATTTTTGTTAGGAGTTTATACATTACATTGAGGAGTGTTATAGGACGGTAGTTTTTTATATCTGCTTTATCCCCTTTCTTGTGTAGGATAATGGTTACTGATTCCTTCCAGTTGTTTGGGATTCTTTTTTCTTTTAATATCCTGTTAAAAAGGGAATGTAGAGTATTAATTACCACTTTTCCACCATATTTCAGCATCTCTGTAGTTACTCCATCTTTTCCAGGCGATTTGTTGTTTTTCATTTCTTTCAATGCCTTCTTTATTTCTGATTTGCTTATTTCGGGCTGCAGCTCTGAGTTGACATTTTTTATTTTGACCTTAAGTTGGTTTTTAATTTCTTCTGGTGGTTCCTTTTTTGTTTTATATAATTCTGAGTAGAAATTGTGGATTATATTTATGATGTCATCTTTAACGTTTGTTTCTATTCCATTTACATCTTTTATTTTGTTTATTTCAAACTTACCTAATTTCGGCCTTAAGCATTTCATATTTTTGTTGTTTTGTATTACTTCTTCTATTTTTATTTCTTGTTCTTTTCTCTTATTTTCTTTTATCATTTTGCTTATTGTTTTATTAATTTCTACATATTCTATAGATTTCCTTTTGCCTTCTTCGTTCAGCTTCCTTCTTTTATCCATAAGCTTCTTTGTTTCTGTTGATATATAGTTGTTCTTTTTAGATCCTTCTTTGCTAT